ACTAAACAAAATGTTGAAAAATCTGGTTAAACACACAAAAATACATTCAGTAATTGAGGTAATTTGTTTATTTGGCCTGAATGATAATAAAAAAGACCAACACAACCTGAGTTGTTAATGAGTCTACAAATTTCACCTCTTTAATTCTTCTAAGAGATGCAAAATTAAAAATTCTATATTGTAAGCATGCAAACTTGATCTGACTCCACCAACCTTAAATTTGATCTCTGTTATTTAACCCCTCTATGGCAGCTTGTGTAAACCTGCCTACCACCCCACGAGCAAAGATTTGCGAATACTTGTAGCAGGCCATTCAATAAATTGCATGCAAAATGCTTGCATCATATGATGTCAACTGCAGTTGAAGGATTAATTATCTTACTTTACTAGGATACTGAAGTTATTAAATAGTAGGTAGCAATAATGATCAAAAGTGTTAGCTAAGTAAGACAGAGAAATAAGAATTTATTTACATTAAAAGTGAAAATTTCTCCATTATTAGTAGTGGAACTTGTGGTAGCAGCTAAGTATTTATCAGCAGTAACGTAATCTTTATCAAATTTAGGATTATCATTGATTAATTGTAACTAGATGTGGTGTACGATACTAGTAATAAATGGTACGAGTGTTAATTAACAAGGGAATTTTAGCATTATATCTTTCCACATTTTAATCTATTAACTATACAACAGCTCAATCTTAGCTAAATCAACAAATACTGTGTGGTTAGATTGGTAACAGAGAATTAAGACTTGCAACACTTCCTTATGGTTAAGAGATATTACAGGAATAAGTGGAGTGCAGTTTTTACAGATTGGGTTTTAGAACTGTCGGCTTGATTGTGATTATCAGGAGGCTCAGAAAGACATATCTTGTTTGCTTATTTATTTGAAAATAAATTAGAGATTTAAGTAAAATTGCTGTATTAGAAGAGGAAAATATAAGATTAGAAGTCAGAAATTAAAGGAGACAAAAAATGGATAGACTTAGGGTAAAGGTTACAAGGGTGAGAATGAGAGTACTTGGTATACAAGAGTGAACAACTGGAAAAAAGTTAAGGCTATAAAGACCAATTCAGTTAACATTCAGGTACAAAGGCTCTAATAGGTTCGAGCCTTTGGTTGCTTGCAACGACGAAAGAGATGATCAAGAAGATTATAAAGTGGAAGACTGTTTCATTATGTATACTGATAAAATTATTTGTTTCAAGAAGTAATAAGAAATAAACTTAGTATTCCAAAAATTGTTTAATCTCAAAGTCTATGCTCAAGGGAGGTCCACTTCAATCTACACTTTGATCACTGTGTATTATTGGGTTATACTAGTTTCAGAGAATTCCACTCCTCATCAGTAACCCTGATGGAAGTACAGAAAGTCTAGGACTAGAATCTACTTGCCATGTGTGAAAGGACATTAGTGTGTGTTAACAGTTTAGTTGCCAGTGCAAAGGGGCATTCTCTTTTTTGTAGTTGATATAGGAGAAATTGATGTTAGGAATTGTCAATAAGAAGACCTGCTTAAAAAACAAATTTCTTTAGAGAAAGAAATAGAAATGTGGCCCATTTAGGAATGTTCCTTCAGGCTCGGTGCAAGAAGAAGCTACTTAGTTCAGGGATATGACCAGAGTAACAGGTGGGCTGGTTTGACCTGAAAGATGGTTTTTAAGGTAAAGGTGCATTGTCGGTAAGCTCCACTTAAATAGACTAGGCAAAAAACTATTTGTGGAAGCATTGAAGAATCTCATTAACAAAAGTTTAAACTAAAGTTGCACAATGGAGAAGGAGTTTGAGGGATTGTAAATAAACAAATTGATAGGATAGCTAGGTCAAAGAGTAGACTTAGAGTATAACAAGTTAAATAATAGTTTCAAAGAGAAGTTGATTAGATATAAACAGTAAATTCAAGAACAAGTCTATTTTCTACTATCCTGTTATTAGAAGCAAAATAGATGAGTTCAAGACTGTAGTTGGAATGGAAGACTATGATATAATAAGAACTACTGAAATTTGATTAGTTGGAGATCACTAATAATAGAAATTACTTTGAAATTCTGGATTACAAGTTATCTAATAGTGACAATTTTTCCTAAGAGAGGAGGAGTAGCCTTATATAATGGACAAACTGCAACCTGTTGGGATTGAAGATTGATTATAAAATTAAGAAATATTTGTCTATTCTTTGCTTCTTTGAAAGTATTAATATGTCTCATGTTCTGCCATCAGGTTTTCAAGGGTAGAAGATTATTAATTAGCAATTGATGTAGGCCACCTGATTAAACAGATGATGTCAATGAGAAATTGAATAATGAAAATAATAAAAGCATTGATAAAGTAATTACAGAGACTTAAACATTAGACATTTATTAGGATTGCATGGAGTTTTCTACTGAAAAAAAGAGAGAAAGATGGTTTTCTAAATCAAATGATCAGAAATCCAACCAGATGGGATGCCATCTTAGATTTACTGTTAAACACTAATTGAGGTTATTAGAGTTGAAGTGGGGGAAGGAGATTTGAAGAAGTGATAATTGCATAATTAGGTTTGAAGTTTGTTATGACACAAAAAAGACTATGAAATTTTAGTTCCCACATTTCACAAAGCCAGTTTCAAACTATGAAAAACGATTTATTATTAGTTAATTGAGATAATGAGGTAAAAGGAAATATATAAGACAAATATAAAACATTTTAAAGATAAACTGCTTTTAATTCAAAACAGGCATGTTTCTTAAAAGAGGAAAAGGAAAACAGAGATCAAAACCTAACTGGCTAACTATGGACATAAATGAGAAAATCTGAGCTAAGTTTAAATTGACAGATATGGAAGATTTACAGGAATTTGGTTAAAAACAAAACTAGAAAATCAGAAAGGGCTTAAAAGAAGCAGTTGATTAATAACATTAAAACATGGCAGCAAAGATTGAGTATGTTCAAGGTAGGCAGAATGTTAAGTGGACAAATGATCCTTAAAGAATGCTGATGACAAAATATTTGTTAAGCACTACAAGATGACTTTTAAATGTTTTTTCTAGTCCATTTTTATACAAAAAATGGAAGGAACAATCCAAGCCCTAAGCATTCTTTGGGAAATACTAGAATTGGCTTGAATCATGTATATATTCATACCTTGGTGGAAAGTTAAAAGACAGAGAGATTAAAAACAGATAAAGCCCAAGAACCAGACAACGTTTCTCATAGGTTTTAAAGGAGGTCACTAGACAGTGAGCTGGTGCTTGAGGACTGAAGATACTATTTCTAAAGTGGCAGTAATAAGAGTGGCCCTGTAAATTATAGGCCAGTTAATCTTACTTCTGTAATAGGAAAAGTTCTAGAGTAAAATAAATAAAATTCTACAAAATCATTTAATGAAATATGATATCAAAGAGCCAACACCTATTTGCTAGAAATAAATCTTGCTTATCTGTTAATTCTTTTTTATAATGTTAACTTTTTTACCTGGATGATGGAAAAGGTGTGGATTTGGTGTACTTAGATTTTCAAAAAGCTTTTCCTAAAAGATTACTAAAGAAAATCACATCAGTGAGAGTTGGAGAAAGATTAAATTAGATTGTATGGTGATTGGGTTTAAGAAAACAAAGTTATTATTAATAAGAGTATAATCAAATTGTGGTGTATCTCTTGGCCTTTTTTTTAATTTATATTAATTATATTACAGTACCATATTTAGTAAAGTTTGCTGATGACATTAAAATGTTGAGTATTTCTAATCATATTGAGAATGTTAAAGTACTATAGGATGCCATGGATCAATTGGTAACCCTTTAATTATAGTAAATGCAAATAGAAAAGTCCACCTAAACATTGAGGTAGTGCTATATTTCTAGTAATAAAGGTAAAATAATTTTAGGATTTATGTATAGACATATTGATCACAAGCCAAGAGAGGTAATTATCTCTTTATTAAAATCACTAGTTATACTAAAATCATTCATTTAGAATATTGCATTACTGGAAAGGGTTCTGAAGGAAGGCTAGCATGATAAGAATAGTTTAAGATATCTTAAAGTGATATTATTGAGTTTATAAGATTATCCAATGGATCAGTAGAATAAGGGCTATTAATTTCTTTTCTATGTATCCAAAAAAACAACAATACATGGGGATATAAATTTAAGATTTGAAAAGGCAAGCTAGGCTCCACTTAAGATTAATAGAGTTTAAGAGGAACAGATAATTTCCTGAAGAATAAAAATTGATTTAAATGTTTACTGTTTTTCCCCAGGGCTGGATGTACAGTGACAGTTTTGAAAGGCCAATTGGTTCCTCGTTGTTCATAGTGTAATGATAATTAAGCACTGCTTTTAACTGATCTGTTATTCAACTCGCATATATAGCAGATAACAAAAAATAACAATCACAAACCTCAAAACACGTGGGCATACAAGTGCAATGTAGGGTTAAGGAAGGATGCTCTACATAATCATTAATGAAAGAGATCATACAGAAAATAAATTAAAAACTTGTAAAATGAAACGTTTTTTGTTTAGGATATGACTCAAAATTTAAAGTAAAATTCTTAAGTTGACAATAAGCATTAATGAGGAAATACAGTCTGTTCTAACAAGTGTATACTTAGTCCACTGATGTAATTTGGTTGAGACATACACAGATTTATATTATGAAACTACCAAATCTAGAAACAATCAGAAAAATAAAAATTACACATTTATTAACCTATGTAAACCAACTGCCAAAAGTCAATGATGTTCACATCTATGCAGAAAACAGTCACAATCTTTATTATAAAAGTCAAATACCACACTCATTAGAAAGCATATTAATAACATTTTTTGTTTTTCTATTTCAGAGACATAATACAAAGTTAATCTATTAAAGCTTAAAAATTACAATTTTATCATTTTTTTAAAGTTAAAGCACATTATAAAATTTCTCTGATAATAATACTAATTATTTTGTGTGCAAAAAGTGTGTAAGTCACTATTAGACATGTTTACACAATGTGTAGTGAGTCCACTTTGAATGTGAAATTATAAACAAAAATATAAGCAAGTACACATGCACATATATATGCATAATTTCTACATTTTCTGCAAAAGATCAAAAATAATCATTTAAAAGTTAGCAACCTTATTATGTGCACCACAACCATGAAACTTAACCACTAGAAACATTTAACCTACCACATCCAAGTATCTTCATTTATTTATTTGTATTTCCAAAATACCTGATGAATAAAAAACAAATATTGATAGTTCACTCTCAAAGTCTCAGTGTATGGCAAATTTAAATTAATGTACTCGAAAAATATTTGAAATATCACATTAAGAAATTATTAAACACTCAGTCCAAATATACTATAAATCTTAACCATTTCTTTCAAAAAAATAATTTTCAAAATACACAATTTTGTGAAGACACACATCTATTACTTTTAGTAAATTATTAAAATTAAATAATAAATTTAAAAAATGAGACTGGGGTGTATTAATGTGTACTTATACTAGTTATACCAACTTATAAATTTAACTAATAATTAATTTTACAAATATAATTTAGAATTGATAAAAGTGTAGTACAACCATATAATTAAAACTTCATTGAATTGAATTTTACTTAAATCTTAAAATAATGCAACCTTACGATTACAGTAAACTAAATTTAAACTGAAGCTGAAAAAAAAAACATGTTGGACTATTAAAATCCTACTAATTCAGTAAATGTTATGATCATACTAAAAATAATATATTCATTGATTTATGTTCATATTGAAGTATATTTTAAAAACAAACCATGAAACACAAACACGAAAATAAAATTGTTAAAGAGGTTTTTGTAATCACGCTTGATGAGGCGATCACGCTTAATTAAGTACGACCAGAAGAATTACGCTTCAAAAAGCGCGTATCTTTGAAAGTTTAACTGCATAGAATTTAGAAATTCCACTGGTCCTGTGTAGTCGACAAAAAAAAAGTCATTAACTTATTAGTATATTTCCTACATACTTTTCTGTACACCTTGTTGAGACCATTTTAGTCTTCTCTATTTCGTTATTACGCTTTGAATCTACCGATGGATCGACTTTTTCTAAATCATTCTCTGTGTGTTGGTAATTAGTTTCATTTCCTGTGAATCCTTCTTCCTCCGCCATAATTTAATGTGCGATATCACAGCGCCACATAATGTTTAGAAATGGCGTTAGTTTGATGTGAAGAAAAAAAGTTACATTGTACGGTAAGCAAAGTGTGGTATAATACATATTTTGAATTTATATATAATTTTACCTGCTTAGTTAAGCTTAAAAGAAAAAATAATTGTTGTTATTGTTTTATTAGCGCAAACCTACACAACGGGCTACCTGCCATCTGGCCACTGCGAAGAATCGAGCTCTGATCTTTAGCTCTATAAGTTCGCAAAATTATGGCTGGCCCACCGAAGAACAACAAAATGATAATAAGATCATTTGTGAGATCCTTAGACTAAATACCTCTGATTTATTTGTACAATATTTGAAAGTAATAGGACGAGAGGACACACATTTAAGAATTGTTAAAGAGAGAGTCTAGGCACAATTTTATTTTTATAACAGGTGATTAAATTATGGGATGAGATATTGTCAGTAATAATGGAAACCAGCATTTTACAAGAATTTAAAAGGGGAATCGATGATTTCCTGAAATTATAGGTTAGGTTTATATATGTATTTTTCTGAAGGATGTGTCTACAAGGACAGCCTCAAAAGACCAAATAGACCTTTGTTATGTAATGTTAAATCTCTTAAAGATAGAAAGCTACCAGTATTACAATAAACAAAGTTAGAAAATAGACTATACTCTTCCTGCGTTAAATGTTGAAAGCTTAAAGATACGTTGTTTTTAGTTACAATGTTTCACTGACAACTTCTTCCATTCCAACTCTATTCTGGGCGCCCCCGAGGGGCGCAGCGGTAAGTCTGAGGGCTTATAACGCTGAAAATCTGGTTTCTATACTCCCAGTGGGTACAGCATAGACAGACCATTGGATTGCTTTGTGATTAACAAGAAACTATTCTGGCCCGAGCTTCTCCAGTGGTTATTGTATCAGGTTTGGGTTTATGCCTCCCCCTTCCAATCTCGCTCCGTACTTTGAGGCTGTTGGTACGTTATAAAAGTAACTACCAAATCTATCTATTTAATTAATTAAATTGACCTGCAAGTTGGCGGCAGGTAGTGTTCACTAGCTGCCTTCTCCTCATTTCAAAATTAGGGCTAGCTAGTGTAGATAGCCCTCATGTAGCTTTGCGCGAAATTCCACAAAGATAACATAAACTATATTCTTTAGTAAACAAGATGGAATCATTGAACTTTATACTTTATACAGAATTTTATTTCATGATTGTTATAGTAACTACTATAACGTATTGAAATTTAAGGGATACGATCGATTATTTAACAACTGAATAAACTTCATTAATTTCAAATTTTAGAAAATTTAAGCAGATATTAAGAGTTATGGTATTTTCTGGTATACGGATATCCCGAAGAGTGATTTGTTGGGTCTGTCTAACAAAATATCCAACGAATATGTTCTAGCGAATGGGTTAATTACATTCTGAACTCCGACTGAGTCCATCAACAAGAAAAAGTCAACACACAAAATGTACACAACAATAATTTTCAATAACAAAACAGGATCAAGGTATTGTTACGTCTCCGTTTGTTAATTGATTTTCCGTAACTTCGTTCCGACGAAACTTAAGCGACACAAGTTC